TGCTCACAAAGATTTCATGTGATATTTATTGATGCAGGATTCCATCAGTAATTCACTAAGGCGGAATTTCCATTGGCTTCTTGGGGCTCGGGATCACAAAAAAATCTTCGATGATATCTGGAAGAAAAGTTGATGCACACAATATTGAATATCAAAAAAGCGCGGCAACGGCCCATGAAAATTTGAATAACCATTCAACTCGGTCAAAAACTTTAAACGGACCGTACCAGGTGAGTGCTGGACAATTTCAGATAACACACACAAGGGAACTTTCTAGTCTGCAGAAAAACAAAATCCACTGAACCGATCCAAGCAATAATGGATGCTGTCCAAGAGTCTCAAAATACCGACGTGGGAGTGATGATTGACTGGCCTGGCCGCGTCGTTAGGTTTGGGGTATTGCTGAGCAAACAAGTATTGAAATTGTTATTTATAGTATACGAAGTAAATTGTTAGTAATGAAATATATTAAATTTGAATAAATAAGTAAATAAAATTCATTCGTAAATTGATTCTTTTTCGGCACATGGAACCTACCGCTATTTCTAAGAATCATAGACTTTTTCAGGAGGTTATAATAAATAGTCCTGATGGCTGCAACTATTATATTTAAATTAGAAAGAAAACTATTTCTAAAGTATCCCTAAAACTCTCGTCACCCTCGCTTTTTCTTGCCAGGAAATTAGCGTGGAAAAACAACTACTAGATTTCCCAGTGGTGCATGGCTAGCAAGCGACCCAAGCTCCCTGCGAGACATGTCTGGCCAAATGAGATAATTTCCGGTTATTTCTGAGGGGAGCTAGCCTCTCATTGCGCTGTCCGCTGCGTTTTTGTTTGGCTCTCGCAAGCATGTGGCGTAATGCCGACAGATAAAATGACCTCTTGGAAGCGTGCATATTTGGCTCGAACACTTAATTAACTGGCTCGCAATAAATTAACTTGTAGCAATAGGTAATAATTCTCAAATATTTTAATATATCTACGAGCTATTCATATATTCCTGGGGCAACTCAATTCATTACCAAACCCTTTTTTAATCCAAAAAAAATTTTGGAAATTTTTCTTTTATTAGCGTTGTGCTCACGATCATCACTTAAGATTTTTTTATACTAACTTTTAATAGACGAATCAATATTTTGGATCGTTGATTGTGAGTGAAAAATATTAGTTAACATTAATTTTTGTTTCGACAACATTCTAATTGATTAGATGTTCAAGAATTTTTCCTACGTTTCTGAGATTTGTTGATATTAGCGTCAAACGTCAACGAATTCCGTATAGTAATTTTTGTACCCACAATTACTGCATTAAGTGCAAACCAGTTGTACTTAACATTTTCGATTTTTCATTTTGTTTTTAAAACTACTTGGCTTTGTACATTATTAATTTAGAGCATCATTAATTGCTAAGGTTCATCATTTATTGTACTCGCCATTATGGCATTATACAAAACATTGTTTTGTAACCAAACATTGTTTTGTATAATGCGATCACAGACAACATTGTTTGTCTGTGATCGATCATCATACGATCATCACGTGATCACAGACAACGTTGTTTGCCTCATACATGCAATGCTTACGTATCCACGTTGGCTGCACACAAAATTCACTTTGAGCTCTCGTCAAATATCCTCGATGTGGACTGAAGCTGGAATCAATGTATTTCATATGGCTTTCAAGATAAACGTATATAGGGTTGAAGGGCCTTAGCGTGTGGCATTGGAAGCTGGAGCAGATATGCCGAGCCTAAAAGAAGCGGTTAAGTGTCCTTGAAGCCGCCCTGCTTTGATGCACCAATTGAAAGATTTACTGCAATTTGGTTGCGATGAAATCGAAACTTATTTCAAAATCAAACGATACAGTTACAAGTGAGCAGCGTTTCAGTTATGAATGAAAGTACTAAATCGCGGTGATTAGAACTTTGCATTTGGGCAGGTTGAGGTTGGTTAGGAGTAGAAAAACTTTGTGGCTTGTGAATTTAAATAGTACACAATTCAAAATAAGTGTAATGTGGTGTAGATGCGATATGCTACGTACGGTATAGATAGAATAATATAAAAAGGATCAAAAGAAAGTGTCTTTTAAGTTCTAAAAAACCTCTTAAGTTGTTGTTATCGATTTCAGGAGGCTGTGATTGAAAGTTTGTTTTAACGTACTAAAATTCTTCCCTTAAAATGAATAAATTTATCGCAAAAATCCACAGAAATCCTCAATTAATAGCTCCAAAAGCGGCACAGAAACAATTGTATAAAAGAGGACAACAATGTGTCTCTAAAACCTTGTAAATTTTGGTATAAATTTCCCTGTAATATATTTATGAATTTCTCGGCCAGGTAAGCGAAGGCTTTAACTTTAAGCCTCGAGTAACGTTAGCATACACAGCCACGTCGGCAGGCTAACGCTGCAAGGGCGGTGCCCTGGTAACTGCTTGGGCTTATAGGTGCTGTGGGGCGAGAATAAACTTGGTGCCACCCAGAAATGGTGAACATCACTGTAGTGGTGTGCTGATACATCATCCGATGCCCAGGTATGGTGAATATCACTGTAGTGATGTGTTGATACATCATCTGTTGCCTAGGTATGGTGAACATCACTGTAGTGGTGTGTTGATGCATCATCTGTTGCCTAGGTATGGTGAACATCACTGTAGTGGTGTGTTGATACATCATCTTCGAAGAGCATCATTTGTTCAAAATTCGATATTCTGATGTTCAATGACCTTGCTTCTGATAATCATTTGATTCCAATTCATACATTGAAAATTTAAATTGATTTGCATAAATAAACAAGCTGTTATGTATATGGGTCCTCTTTCGTGTGTTAAAAATTCAGGACACCTATGATGAGCTTCCTAATAATTTGATATAAAAGCAAGGATTTAAAATAATCAGCAGGGCTATAAAATTGGTCTAAAATCCCACGAACAAAATACTCTCTGAATGAAACCTCACAAATTTTGATGAACTATTAATCTTATTTGTCACCACACAACCATTACTAGTTGTGAATCAATTGTTGGCATGAACAACGCACGGTATCACAAAATCAATGCACTAGTTTCCTCAGTGCACGTCTCGTTGGCCACGCAAGGATCGCGTGAGGCTTGATCTTGGGTGGAGATCTCACCGCTCCTAGGCACCGCGCCTATATAGGCACCGCGCCTATAGGCACCGCGCCTCAATGATGGCAGCGACGATTACTCCTGTAGCCTAAATCATATTCTCCGGAGCGAGGCTAATGATATATATAAGCATACCCTTTGAATCCATCATCGTTGCATCTGCTAATGGAGGTTTTGTTCTCTGACTTGACAATTATAGAAAAAAAGGAAGAAATGGGTGGAGTAAATACAGGTTTTTACTACGTATTGCTGTGAGAAGTTATGTTGATTGTTCTGACTATTGGTTGATTCGTACTATGTACAATGTATAGGAATAGGCTTTTATAAACCTTGTAAAACAAAAAATTCATACGAGTGCAAAATTCGTGCAGGTATTTCACCAGATCTCAACAAACTTTAAGTGCGTGACAAAAAGACAAAAAGCCGTAAAATACAACTAAAATTTATACTTTCCATTCAAAGTTGTACTATAGTCACATTTTTTGGTCAAGTTGCAGATTATGTAGTCGCGTATACAGCAATGTGATCATGGCACAATGATGTCGAGTGACATTATTATATTTTTATTGGAGCTCGCTGACTCGTAGGAGTCTCGTTGCTGTTGTGTATGAGATTTTATGTTTTTTTTCGATGCAGTTACGTCATGATATTTGCGGTACTTCATGAATCCTATTATATATGCACTACTTATATTTCAATAGCCAAATTACTTCGGAACAAACTACTAGACAAATAACATCCGCACTCTTGACAACTTTTATTAAAATTAAATGCTACTTAATAGGAATGGCTGCCAACGTAGCATTATTTGCAGGATTAGGTGTAATCAACGATGTACAAATACTTGGAGGAAATCCGTTCAATTTAGAAGAAATGGGTGGAGTAAATACAGGTTTTTACTACGTATTGCAGTGAGTAGTTATGTTAATTGTTCTGACTATTGGTTGATTCATGCTATGCGCAATGTGAATAGGCTTTTATAAACCTTGTAAAACAGAAAATTCATAGGAGTGCAAAATTCGTGCAGGTATTTCACCAGATCTCTACATACTTCAAGTGCGTGACAAAAAGGAAAAAAAATATAACTCAGTACTCACTGCAGTGAGTGACAGAGAGCGCAATTTCTCGTCGACGAAAACTTGAGGCACGGACAGACGGACGGACAGACGGACAGACAGACAGACAGACGGACGGACGGACATGGCGAGCACAATAGTGCATTTTTTTCCATAAATGAGAAAATGCGCTAAAAAGATCTATATACAACTGAAAAATATATTTTCAATTCAAAGTTGTACTATAGCCACATTTTTTGGTCAAGTCGCATGACATTGAAGCTCGCTGACTCGTAGGAGCCTCGTTCTGTTGTGCTTGAGATTTTTTTTTTCGATGCAATTACGTCACTATATTTGCGGTACTTCATGAATTCTATTGTATGTTCACTACTTATATTTTAATAACCAAATTACTTCGGAAATTACTTGACGAAAGACATCCGCACTCTTGTCTTTTTTTTATTATAATTAAATGTTACTTAATAGGAATGGCTACTAACGCAGCATTATTTGCAGGATTAGTTGTAATAAATGATGTACAAATACTTGGAGGAAATCCGTTCAATTTTAATGCAATAATGTTGCAAAAATTGGCTCCATCGCCGACTGCATTTGCTGGAACATAAATTCAGAACCTAGTCAGTCTTTTTCATTTTAATAACCTGAGGTTCAAGAAAGGTATCTGGAAAACTTCAGGTTAATTCCCGAACATTGGATTAATTCATTTAAATTCGCATTCTCCTTTTACTGTTGACTTTCATTTCTTACAAGAGTGGCAAAGTGGGCGGTGTACTGGGCTTTGATGACTTGCCTATCTTTCAGGAGTGGCAGAGCGACGGTGGCAGGGCAGAGTGGGCGGTGAGGGCGATGGACTGGGCCGTGTGGGCGCTCTGGTGATCACAGCCCAGACGCTGGTGGCTCTGCTCATGGGCGGGCTTGTGTGCTGGGCTTTGGTCTGGGCGCCAAATTCCATCCCGTTCAGGGAGGTGCCACATTACGCCGCCATACCGGTCAGACAAATGCAGTCACTGGATCTTCTTAATTATTATTAATAATGCATGCAATCCTTTGCTAATAATTATATAATAATAATAATAATTCATTGATAATTGATATAATAATAATTTATTGATCTGATCGTTGAAACCTTTGATAATAATGATACGAGTATTTAGGCAATTTCTTGTACACAATATAATGCGGATTGTAAATATTTGATAGAAACTAGTGAAATAATGTCAAATGTAGTCTAAAAATGAGAAATAAGGGGGTATCAATTTTTGAAATTATTCAATTAGTCCGCGAGGTTTAGCCTCGTGACTTCTTTCGACTCAGAAACAGGACTTGGCCAGATATATTGATATTATATTGTGATGACTTCAAGATAATTACTTGCCAATTATTTTGAAACAACGGGACATAAAAAATTATGGGACGAGAAAAACTAAGCATACTATTGACTATTCATTTTGATACTAGCAAAACATTGGAAGATTTTATCAGCGTTGTATATTTATTCAATTTCAGAAGTAATCAAGTAGTTTCGTGTAATTAAATCATTAGAGTCTTCAATTTAGTTTTAGTCTGCATTGATCGAGACTGCTGATGATTTAAAGAAACAGTTTTTCACAATGGTAATAAGTTGCTGCTTAGTGTGAAAATTAAAATTTTTGTTGATAAATTTTAACCCGAGTTCCTGATTAGGTGCTCGGCCTTATAACTCATTGAAATTATTTAATTAGAAGCCGTCTGAATAAAATTATATTTTTAATTAGTGATCGCAAGATGATTGGAAATTTTATTCAAGGGCAAAGCATTTGTTTACCTCTGTTGAAGTTTAAATTTATTTTACAAAACATTGAGATATAATGTAAGAGGAATTTGTTTCTATTTTAACAGAGACTCAAAATTAGAGTATATGATGGCAAAGATTATCACAAAATAAGCATTATTTTATTTGCGATTAATTAAATTATTCATTGACTTACTGATTTTTCATCTTCAGTTCAGTAGCATTGCGCCGGGAGTTCAGTTGTGCATGCCTAGAAGGCATTAGGTTCTTATTTCTGAAGTAAAATTAGTTAGCCACAAATAGCAGAGGTGAGAACTCCACCCTGGGCTTAAGTTTATTCTTCAGTATCTGTTGTTTACTAACACGGAGCTCTGCTTCTCAGAGGCGCACTCTACGGCAATGCTCAGAGTAATTGGGGGGAATACTGAGCCGGCCGAACCTTAAACTTTAATGAGGCTTCCGTTCCGCAATGAGAGCGAGAGTGAGCTGGCTGACGGTTGGAACCAAGTGCAAGCTTCATATATAATTGATGGAAGCTTAATCTATTATTCATCTATGACTCAATTTTAGCTTTACCGGCCAGACTCAGATGACACAAGAAGACTCACACTGTCTTCTTTATCTGACCGCTGTTGAAATGACATCTATTTCAGGCTGATATATTTTGCAATTAGGCGTCAAAGAAATGTCGTTTTTCGCTGCGCAGCTGTTGGTGAGCGGACTCCTGGGAGTTTTGCTGTTGGCTTGCTGCTCCAAACGACCAAAGCGACGACCAGCCAACATACTAAAGGTAAATATGATGCCGCGATGGCCAGTCAACATACTCAAGGTAAATATGATGCCGCGATGGCCAGCCAACATACTCAAGGTAAATATGATGCCGCGATGGCCAGTCAACATACTCAAGGTAAATATGATGCCGCGATGGCCAGCCAACATACTCAAGGTAAATATGATGCCGCGATGGCCAGCCAACACACTCAATGTAAATATGATGCCGCGATGGCTAGTCAACATATTCAAGGTAAATATGATGCTGCGATGGCCAGTCAACATATTCAAGGTAAATATGATGCTGCGATGGCCAGTCAACATATTCAAGGTAAATATGGTGCCTGCTGCTGTCTGAGCTTTAGTGAGAAACACCTGTCGACTTTATGGGAGGACTGTCGTAATAAGGCAATAACTAATTCATAGTAAAGAATGAGAGGCATTAGGTCTCATGAAAAATGTACTTAAATATTAATTTTTGAATTTTACTCTGAGTGAGACGATTTTTGGAATTTTTAAAGTTCTTGTGGAAGTTCTTAATTTAATGTCATCGTATAAGACATTTCACTTCAAGCTCCCTAAGAGGTAGACAGCCAACGACACGGAGAATATATCAACACTCATCATTAAATAGATGAAGTTAACTGCATGCAAACAATGTAGCTAGTTTTGAATATCGAATATCAGTAGTGGTATCGCATGAGTTTTATGCGATACCATTACTCATGCGATACCATTACTGATATTCGATACTTCCATTTATGCCATTTATGCGATACTTCGACAAATATTGATATATCATTAATATAAAAAGAATTAAATCGTTGTATCCTGCTTGCAGATCATGATTGTGTTAACGTCGTTCATGGCAGTGGTGGCATGCCTGTGCGTGTGCATCTTTGCGGCGCTGAAGCTCGTGCATCTCGCGCCCATGAGGTGCCGCGAGGTCAAAGAGGTCGTCGCTCTCGTCGAACCTTCACTGAACGACTCCGCGAATCCGACGCTCGAGTTGAGCGACAATAACGACGCTGCTGCAAGAGCATCGGGAGATAGAGCAATTTCGAACGAAGGAAGTGACAGTATTATTAATAATTCCAGCTTAGCTCAAAGCGTTGACATTGATGGGACTGGTGATGTATCAGACGCCCCAAGTTTGGCCGGAGAAGTGAACAGTTATGTCCAGCACTCAGGGGACGGTAGCACAGATGGAGCTAGCAGAAATCAAAGATCTGATCCCGTTTTTGATGACGGAGTAGATGATGAGGATGAAACTTTGATGAATTACGACGGGAGTGGAGAAGCTCCTCCTGAATTGAACCTCCCAAAAGCATCTTTGGAGCTGGAGTCTCCGACGACCCGTACTCTCCCAGCCATGTCAGACCCAACAGTATTGATTGAAAAAGCTTACTGTGTGTGCGAATCTTGGAAGGATCACTGGAGTCTCCGACGACCCGTAATCTCCCAGCCATGTCAGACCCAACAGTATTGATTGAAAAAGCTTACTGTGTGTGCGAATCTTGGAAGGATCACTGGAAACAAAGTCTGAGGTATCCAGACTTGAGTTGTGTCGAAGTTAACCGAGTTTTGCCAGTGCTTATTGTGGCAACCTGCATTGTGACGGCAGGTGGCGCCATTTTGTCAGGCGTTGTAATTTATTTGATATGGGCGTCCCGGGCATCTTATTATAATCCCATACGACCCACGGAGATCAGACCCATGATGAAATCGAGTTCATTAAAACGAAGTGTGAGCCTTCAGTGTCGCAGTAACGGTGTACCTTACTGGAATGGATCTCCCAGTACAAATGGACACTCGCGATACATTGTGAACTAATATCGTTGTAAATGATGTATGAGTGCTGTACATTTTGAAATGTTAATTTTCGTGACTTGAACTTGGTGATATTGTTTAGCTTGACTCAGGATGAAGAGAAACATTCACTTACCGTGCGCGGAAATGAGGAGAGTTACCACGTGTAAATTTCGAAGCAAATATTTTAAGAGATTCTCGTTTATTAGTGCAAGAATACAAACGCAGTTGCGGTAATGTCCGCTAGAATTGCGATATTGCTCGCTGTCTGCAATGCATAATTGTGGTAATGCCGGCTAGAATGAAAATGACACATCTCGTGCGAGGAATAACATTTCAGTTAACAGAAAATTATATGCATAAAGAAAATCTGAGACATTTTTACAGCTTTGTTATGATTTTTTTCTAACGGAAAGTGCTTTACAATCATCATGATTAATTCATGAATAATTTTCAGCTAAAAACACACATTTTAGTCTTTGTATAGGCATGCACATGAGTAAGTAACTGAGGTATGTAATCAATACGTCGCTTAATGTGAATAAGGCAGGGTAAATGATTAGAATAAGAACGTCGCGTAATTGAAAATTTGTTCTAATAAATTCAGGAATGACGTTACTTAAAAAATTATAGGAAGGCATTGATAATAAATTTATATTTCTAGTATCTCGTATAAAATTACCCTTCAGAGTTGATAAAAAATAAAGTATCGAATTTTGATGTTCAAATTTGTTGTTAAGGTGAATGAGTTAATCTTAATTGTTTTTTTATTATTAAAAATTACTGTAAACCAAATGTTAATTAAAAGCCGTCTGTTTAAAGCGGTTCTTTGAAAGTTACTAGTAACATTTTAAGGATATATTACACAACAAACTTTCCTAATTCTCAATTGGGAATCACAGATGGATTTAAATCGACATAATAGTATGTCATTTTGCACATATTCGACCATTTCGAATTACTTCACTACCCAGGTCAGAAACAAAATATGAAGCAGGACTTCATATTTTTAAGTCAGTGAAAAGTTCAAATCACTTTCGTGTGATCTTTTGAAAGAAAAAAACTTGTTGGTGCCAATGCAAACGTCCACACGATGGTAATCCATCAAGCCACAGAAGTCATATTCTGGCAATACCGAGAAAACTCTTTGCAGTTGCAGAGAGCTTGGGTCTGTGAAATTCATTCTCGATGCTTTCAAAAATTTCTAGTATATTTTGCAGCGAATGATTTTCCATCACGAGTCTCTTGCACTTCTGGTATTGGAGGGCAATAAGTTCAAAAACAGAGCCGTGATTTATGATAAGCGTCGCATCTGTCGTCTATTCTCGGTCGATACGAAGCGGCGCTACGAAATTCCTGCATTTCTGGCAAGGCCACACTCGCTATGGCGTCTGACAATGGTACACAGATACCACAATGGTTCACAGATACCACAATGGTTCACTGATGCCTCAATGGTACTCAGATGCCACAATGGTTCATAGATGCCAAAATGGTTCACAGTTGCCAAAAGGTTCACTGTTGCCACAATGGTTCCTAGATGCCACATTGGTTCACAGATGCCACAATGGTTCACAGATGCCCAATGGTTCACAGTTCCCAAAATAGTAAAAAACTGACGGCATAAAAGATCTTCGTAAAAAAATCATATTTTTCATTCTAAGCTAAATTCATGAAACAAATGGATCAATAAAGCTGTTTCAGAAAGAAATATTCTGGCCCTAAATGAAGGCTCGTTATTTTTTCGCGGAGCTTAAATTTTGGGGTCGGTCTTGGATGCATAAAAAATCTGCCATATTTCCGGGCGGCGTCCAACTGCAGTAATTTGTCGACAAATTTAATATACTTAGTTATTTAGATGTTTATACGTAGAAATAGTCTGGCAATAATTTGAAAGATATATAAATCCCCTCCTTTTTCGAATGAAAACAAAATAACATAAGGTCATAAATAAAATAAGGTCTCGGTCTGATTCCAGGATTATTATTTTGAAAAACAAATTACAGAAGAAGACCCAAAACTTAAAAAAAATATTCTCCGGAATGTCATGTAAAGAATAAAACCTTAAACGAGTAAAATCAAAGCAAATATTCGAAACTTGCACGCCAGAAAATATGCTTCGAATTACTGACAACATTCACAGTCCGAGCAGTTCCCTCCCTCACTATTTGCTGCGAGGCAATAATTCGTTTGTTGGCAATGATACGGGGTTAGTTGAGCGCGCTAATGTGACATGACATAAAAGGCTATATCAATTGCCAGCGTATATGGATTTTATCCACTGGATTAACTCTAATTAATTGCTGCTGGTTTTCATGAGCGAGTATTGGCCAAATAATACCCGCAGGTATGCCTCAGCACATCGGATCCCAGGACGGTATTGCAATTTGCCAATTAATGTGAAATAAATCATCGAGAATTCAATGGTCCATATGAATTAGGCGAACAATTAATAACTTACAACACTCGCGGGGATTTTGATTTTTGAGTCGATTCGTCGTTAGATCATCAGACAAATTAATTTAATTATTGGAATGACAAACATTTCTCAAATATTTTGTACGAGTTAACTGCGACGCCCCGTCGAACGAATTGCTGGGTCCATTTATGAGAATATTTTCCTAGAGTTAATTAATCTAGTACTGCTTAGTTGGAGCTTTGATCCATTAGAAGCTGAGTATTAATCAGCCTATGTTAAGTTGTTATCATAGCTTATGATGAAAATTATTTGAACACTTTTTAGACAAGTTGAGATGAGCTGAATTTAATCAGCACAAACTTTAAAGAATTAATAATATATTTTATATTATTATATCATATTATGAAGGAATTGAATTGATGAAGGAATTGTACTGATTGTTACCATTATAATTTGATGTATTCTTGCCTTTATTGTGTATATGAAAGTATAATTTAAATACTGACAAAGCAAGAAAATATATAACATTAAAGGAGCGTTAGCATATGAAATATCATCCATTAAACACCTGCTGCCTGTAAATGAATATTTCGATATTCTGACGAGTTTGAACCTCGCCCAATGTAGGAAGTCAAGATTAACTTCAAAATTATGATCCTGTTCATCAGAATATTTTGCAATGAAATTGGTTTCTTTCTAAAAAGTTGCATGAAAATAGGATCTAAGACCAGCCGAGATTTCGCATTCAAAATATCTATAGAACAAATAATTTCAGGAATTAAACAAGCTCGCATATAGCTTCCAAAGAGAGCAAGGTAACGGCGCAAGTTTGGAGAGGCTGAACATTTCTTGTGAGTTGCATGACTTTAATGAGGGTTTGTGTGTTCAACTTGGATGCTCCACAACCATGAAATTCCTTTAATATTATTTCTTCTTTGATAGATTAACTTTGGTGTTTGCAGATATGCGGCATGTGTGAAAGGCCAGAAAAGAAAGAAATTTTACTTGATGAAATGAGCCGTAAAATATCTCTTTTAACGCTATCTATGTGAGAATTTTGGTTGCAATGAAAATATAATTTTTATTATTAGTGAAACTTGCCCTGAAGCCCGTGCGCGCAAATTAATAGAATTTGTGAAACGGTTACCAAATATCAGACTTGACGTGCGTTCGGCCGGCTAGCGATGATGTTTTTGTCGCAGTCGCGTCAGCAAAGGACATCAGATGGCAATAATTTCCATGCAATAATGGCATTAATTGCTGCCCTGGACAGGCAAATAAATCACTCATCGATGATGTGATGAGTTCGCGGTCACCAAATTTGCTGCCTAATTTTATGAACCCGGCTCGTAAATGCAATGAATCAGATATTGAGAGTACAATTTTATGGTCAATTACCACAGCTAATTCAGCTTGATATCTTTGTTGAAAACTTGCGCTTAGTTGAGCAATTTTAGATAATGAGCAATTATTATTCATAAAATTCTAGTTTACAATTTGCTAGATTGTTAGCAAAAAATTCCGTCATCCTATGACGAAGCAACGATGAAAATACCGCCGAAATATTTTTTCATTCAGAACCGCGCATATATTTTTGGTAATTTGTGTTCATTTGTAACGGAATTATGACGTTGCATATTTTCAACGTTCGTTGAAGAATGCGCTGAATTCAGGCTTCAAAAGTAAGGTCAATTCCGCTTTTAACAAGCGGGATTAGTAGTTATTCTACAATATAAGAGAGCTACATATCGTACACAAAATGAGATAGTGCATAACTCGTATAACTTATTTCAGCCAAACAAATAAAGTTTTTTGATTTTCTTATTTTCTCCTTGGGGAAAATGGGGCTTCACTGCGAGAGATAAGATGGTTCGGTTCTATACAGGTGCCGTCATAATATATAATCAACCTCGCAAAGGTCGAGAAATATCCTCGAATTCTCAGTGGCAGATGAGAAAATAATTTTCATAGTTTCAAATAATGGCTGTTTTTAAGGCGCTTTATTCACTTCCCTGGGATCTGCATGGTTAAAGAAGTTGGAAAAGTTTATTCTGAAGCATTTAAGGTGATAATATTGAAATTCAGATTGTTACCACAAATAATGTCTTTAGACCACATGCATTCATTAAATCCAAGAGCCAAAGAAAATTAATTCGTAACAAAGCCTCTCATTACCAATAGTTGTTAGGGATTGAAATTTAAAAGCTATTGTAATATTATTGACAGAGAGATCAATGGAAGTCAGGAGTGTAAAAACTGCCGCGAACTCTTGGAACAACAACAGGCCTTGCTGTGAACATAAATGTATTTAGAAGAGTTACTGGCTTTATATAGCAGATCAGGCGCCTGTGATCGCAAAAATACTCTATAGAAAGGCTCTTTTATTAGTATCCAGTTAAAGGCTACCTTTCAGATAGAGAATTTTTTATCACCATGGGCGTAGACGGGAAAGTTCTTATAAATGATTACATCTTTGTGTGCAGATAGGAATCGTCAAAAATACAATTTTCCAGATATAACTGTTGAAACACGTGCGAAATATATGTAAAGTCAGAGTTAACTAAAAAATCGCTCACATAAACTTTAAAGAATGGTCCTAATATATCGCATGGAAACAAATATATTTTAGTGTGTAGTACTCCGCAATAAAAAGTCTAAAATGTATACCTGCTCGTATGAATCAAGATTCTTCAATTTAATCAAAGTTTTCTCAGTGAGCTAATTCTGTCGGCACAAATAATATTGTCGAAAAAGTGTATTAATTATTTTTATTTATATTATCGCGTAAAATATGGAGCTTTTAACTCACCAAGAGAAGATACAACAAGTGTAATCCGTTGAATTGCTAGGGTCGGGAGCGCAATAGGTTTGCAGGCGAGTGACTGCGTTTTCCATCGCCCACTTTATGACCCTTAAACTTAGGAGGGAAATTCTTAGTTATGTACTTTAGGCTCTATTATTTCAATAAAGAAATCAAATTCTTAGGTATAGGGTAAATAATAGCTTGATGCACACCGATAGCACAATACCCCAACAGCCTGAGCGCTGCGATAACAAGTGATATGTTTTCGTCAAACTATAATGAGCAGAACCGGTATCGGGCGAGATACAGTCAAAGTCCTCCATTAATTAGACACCGCTATTTTTTCACGCTAAACTGATTGATTATAAATCTCCTAAGCCATCTCCAAGTAATGTTGTGCACAATG